CTGTAAGTCATTTGCTATTAAACTATCAATAGTAACTGCTAATCCAGACCATTTTGGAGGGTAATCCTCAGGTGTGGCTTCTTGTGCCATTATTACCATTTCAGTTGGTACTGGCGTCATTTGTGTAAATGTATGAAATGTCACTTTACGTTTAGGATCATCAAGAAGTACCACTCCTAAATCGAACCATTTATGTTCACCGACTTCTAATAAAAAATTTTCTACAGCAACTATCGGTATGTCTTTTGGAATGGACGGAATGTTTCGTGCGGAACTAATTCTTGTTTCCGCACCTTTTATTCCAGCTGCAAAACCAATTGGCTGCGCGGCAATAGTTGAATTTTCAACTGCTACACCTCTAAAAATATGATTAACAATTTTATTAAGAACGTGGGTAGTTATCAATAATGATATAAACATTTTGTTATGTTTATTACTCACGTAACTGTTGCCTTCCCAAACACTGTTTGAAAAGCTTGACGTACAGGACTTACTTTCACATCTTTGTCTGAAGCAACTATTATCTCTACATCACCACCAGAATCTGAAACGTATATTTTCAACAGGGCCCACACGTATGATTGCAAGTTAACTAACATATTGCACGATTACTAAAAAGTGTGCTGTTAGGTAGTTTAAGTTCATACATGGGTAGTAGAATATGTGTTTAGTTCCTCAAACTTTCCTCTTTAAAATAACATTGACAGTTTTAATAAAATATTTTACAATAGAAACAGTTTTCATTTCATTCATTGTCATAAAATTAGATCATTATTGTCTACATTTACAGAGCAAATTAAGAAACCAATATATTTTTGCATCTGTATAATTCATTTTTTTATATATATAACTATAGTATAGTTACACGTACACAAGTTACATGGTTTGAGTCACTTGATAGGTAAAACACAAACACAAGATTTACTACAAAAAAAAATATTCAACTTTTTGTATTCTAACTGACAGTTAAGATAGACTACTACAGTACAGTTCACTGAATTAAGTTTGGCTCGCAGTTCGTCCAAAAATAACATGGCACATATATATATCCCATCACTTATGATGCAATAACATAATTACATACACAGTGAAGCGTATCTGAGTATAAACTTGACATGCAGAGTGTTAATAATATTAACGAACTTAAGCATAGAGGAAGTTTGGATTACTTTGACTTACATGACAGGATTAGTAACATTCTTACTTACAAAGGAACTCACGCATCTGGGGGTCTAATGTTGTAATCATAGTATTAACACTGTTCTTTGCTTTCTCAGCAACTTTGCTCAAAACATTACTATTTACTACTGTCTCTTTAACCCAGGATAATAAACCGCCGCCAACCAATCCTGAATCTTGCACAGGGCTTCCCGCTTGCGCTGTAGTTTGTGCATTTTGGGTGGGTTGAGTTACAATAGGAGTTGTAGTTATTTGTTGAATTTCTTGCTGTGAAAGCTTAGAAGGAGTACTTAAATTTGATTTAGCAGACTCGTCTTTCTTTTGTATGGTAGAATTTTCTGAGGACACTGTCCCTGAATTTGAAATGAAACTAGGCAATGCACTAGGTGGTGCTACATTTGATAATAAACTTCCTGTAGATGTTGATACGCCTATTGGCATTAGCAGAGACGTAGACGACGACAAGCTACTAAAAGAATCTGAAAATTACAGTTTCCGTCATCTACACATACTAAATATATTGCCATGAAACAATGATGAGAAACTTTGTTATTTTCAATAAATTAATTATTTTCCTTTCACTTACGAAAGGAAAAGTAGTGATTTATTCCTTAACTTGCATTTTCTACGAATATCTATCGTAAATTATTTGCAATATTTTTTATGTATCACGAGATATGATTTCGAATTTATTCTTTATTAGTTTCCTTAAGTTTCTTATACGTTTCAATATTCAACTTTTTTATTGGAATTTTTAAATTATTGATACATATGCAAAAACTTTCATTCGCGGGATTATTTGACAGATACGCAGGTGTTTATGTTTTGGATTTCTGTCTTACCTGTTTTCACGATTTCTCCAGACGTAGAAGACTCGTCAGTCTTCCTTTCAACAAATTCAAATGTAGATTCTCCATTAGAATCGTCGGTCATTGCTGGTTAACTTTTCTAAATTTACACGTAAGAAGTCCAAAAACTATATTGTGAATTTTCTATATGCAGGTGTGTGAATACAACTACAGTACCTTGACTATACATAATTACTTATGAGGTACGGTTAGCTAACTTCATGATATATGTTATCGTCTGAAGATAGGAAGTAATATTGACACGTAAACAAATTTATCTTTTCACATTATTTATTTAATTTTATTTTAGGTTTCTTCTCTGATCAATAAAAACTTGATTGCGTTATGTGGAATGAAATGCAGTTTATAACTATAAAATAATAAACATGAATTTTATACATTTTATCCTGTACAATTTATTTAGTAAAATACTTCAAAATATTCACTTTACATAATGTAAGAGGTGTTAAAAAACTAAAGTTATTTTTACTTAATGTGAAATGTATTTATAAAATGATAAGCCATTTATATGATTTACATGATTCATTCAATTAAAAAATAATACATAGATGTTCAACTCCATTTGTACATATAACATTCCATGATATTGATTAGGGTTATATTAAACGTAACATGTTGTCCCCTCATTTCGAATAATTCGCATTTATGTAGTGAAAGAGGAATACCAAACAAAACAATGTTGCGCCCAGGATATTGCAGAAAACTGCCAGTTGCACATCCGTGATCATCTAAAACGTTATAAAAGTAACCTAGCGGTTTATACTTCTTACATGAAAATAAAATACTTATAACTAAATAGATAATAAAAAATATTTTTAAAATAAAGTCGTGGCAAATATGATGTAGTTACCTTTATAGAAAACTTCACCTTTCACTGATTAAAATTCTTAAAACGAATACGTGGTCTGACACGTTCAACACGTTAGGAGGATGATAAACTGTCATGAAATTCTCGTTGACGGAAACTTCTAGAAATTTTATTTATACCTGTCGAAAAAATGTATCAAATAAACTGGAAGTATTAAAGTCTATAGAAGATTAAATATTTCCTTGAAATATATTATTTATGTACATATTCCTTTGAAAAATTATAATATATTATACCAAATCAATATCTGCGGACACTCTAGTGACACTCCCCTCATGAGAAGTTACTCTCTTTCGAGTTACTAGCGTGAGGGGAGTAAGTTACATAGCATTTCTGTCATACAATATCTATAATATTATTTTAGTAAAAATGAAATATAACTAATGTCCTAGTAAATTAAACCTTTTATTAGAAATCAAATTAAAGAGATATTTTAAATGATTATGCATAGAGTTATAAATTATATGTATGTAATTAAGTAATTATTTAATTCAATAATAATTTTTTAATTTTTAGGAGCGTCTAAATACGTCATTGTTTTGGTGACAACAATATTGTTCATTCAGTTAGATCTAGTAAATCCGTTTTTAACCGGTTCGTTGAAAACCATTCAAATAATACATTTGAAATTCCAGGTTAAAAGAATAACACAATGTTTGTTTTATAAATACAATTAACAGTGACTTTATTTTCAACTTTTAAATATACGTTTTACTTCTGAATGGAGGGTACTCACATAGGATGTGTATAAGAGTTTCGTCGCACAGCGTTTTCCCTCCATTTCTAAATATATAAAAATTTTGTACAATTATCGTAGGAAGTAAGTGATTCTGATCGATAATAGTTGATCCATATATTGCGTTGTGTAGATGAAATTTTTCAACATCTTGATTTTTGAAATGTTTATATATAAATTTTTCAGCGTTATCTTCTAACCTCTAGCTTTCTAGAATTCATGTACTAGTGACGGAAGTTTCTTCGATATACTATAAAATTTAAATAAATTCAGAATGTTTGAAGCACACAGCATTAATGCTGAGCATAAGGACTTGATCCACGATATTGCTTACGATTTTTATGGCCAACGAATGGCAACATGTTCCAGTGATCAGTATGTGAAAGTAAGAAGTTTATAGTTGATATGTGTTTGTTTATACTGTGTAGGTTTGTTTGTGTTGTCATGTGTGAAGATTATCAAATTTATGTAGGTCTGGGACGAAGATGAACATGGGAATTGGCATTTAACTGCATCTTGGAAAGCTCACAGCGGTTCTGTGTGGAAAGTTACTTGGGCTCATCCTGAGTTTGGCCAAGTACTTGCTACATGTTCCTTTGATAGAACGGCTGCTGTGTGGGAAGAAATAGGTAGAGTTTTAATTAAATCTCAATACTTTGTGCTTGAAGTAGTTATTTATTTTTTATTTTTTATTTAAAAGTAGCTACATTACTAATTTTATGTAGATCTTTGTATGTACTTATTTCAAAAATTTCTTCAAAGTTGTCACATAGTTTTATTTTTAATTTGTTAACTTTCGCTCTACTATCATTATTTACTTCATAGTTCCATGTGTTGTTAACAGTTGGAGAAGGATCAGGTCCAGGTGAACGTGGCATGAAACATTGGGTTAGACGAACAAATTTAGTGGATTCTAGAAAGTCAGTTACAGATGTGAAATTTGCACCCAAAACTCTTGGTCTTCTATTAGGTACTTGCAGTGAGGATGGAGTAATTAGAATATATGAAGCTCCTGATGTTATGAATTTAAGTCAGTGGACACTTCAACATGATATTAGCTGTAAGCTTCAATGTAGTTGTCTCTCTTGGAATCCATCTTTGTCAAGGTAAAAAGATTGTGGTGCTACATTAAAATTATATTCCTTGATTGTTCAGACTTTCATCATTTAATACGTGTATTAGGCTACATCCACCAATGATAGCAGTCGGAAGTGATGATCCAAATCCATCATCTGGGGGGAAAGTGTTCATATACGAATACTCTGAAAGTAGTAGAAGGTGGGCAAAAACAGAAACATTAGCAATTATTGACCCTGTCTATGATATTGCATTTGCTCCAAATTTGGGAAGAAGTTTTCACACGTTAGCTATTGCCACAAAGGATGTAAGAATTATCACATTGAAACCTATATTGTAAGTATGAGCAAATATTGAGTAATAAACATTAAATACTTGAGAATCTATAAGAAATTATGATTTATGTAGGGACACTGTACAAAGTGGCGCGCCACGTTTTGATATTACTACAGCAGCACAATTTTTTGATCATGATTTCACTGTTTGGCGAGTGTGTTGGAATATTATGGGCACTATTTTAGCAAGTTCAGGAGATGATGGTTGTGTTCGGTTATGGAAAGATAATTATATTAATAATTGGAAGTGTGTTGCGGTTTTAAAAGGTGATGGCACTTCTGCTCAAAGTGCCGAAACTCCTACAGCAGCAACACCACCAAATCATTCATCAGGAACACAACAAACACCTTCTACAACAAGGTACTACAAATTGGGTTCCATCAGTCATCCAAACCAAGTGCCTTGGCATTAGAGAGAATGAATTATTTTTTACAATTAATGGCTTCATGCTCTTTGTTATTTCATACAACTGTATACCGTTTGTATGAAAACTATTGGATTTATATTTATATAATAAAGATAGTGATTATTCTTATTTTGTACGAAATTTATGTTTCTATTTCTAATAGCACTAAGCCGATTTATATCCATTATCAGTTTATAGCAATGCACACTCCTATTGATTTATATCTTTCTATTACATAATGTAGGTATAAAATGTATATTTTACTAGGAACTTTACAATATATTTTTTTAATAGTTTTGAAGAAACAACATACATACGTACCGTTAATTCATTTTTGTTTCAAAAAGTATCTGATACTTTTGAAAAGGAATATTTTTCCGGTAAAATGATTAATGAAAAAAGTGCATAATATTTTGTATGACGATTGAGTGAAAAATATATTTTTGGACAGCATAAATTTGTAATATACTTTTTACTTAATAAATACAGTATTTATATTGTATCTTACCCTTCTATTTTATCCTATCTTTAAACATTAAGTTAGTTGGCCAGTAGATTGTTTATAAAATAGGTGTAATTGATTATTTAATTAATTGTCGTTTCACTTTCAGAGCAGTAACTGTAGCAACAGTCACTGCAGAAAAGCCTACAGTTACAGTTATGTGCATCAATAAATGGCAAGCACCTGTTACAAAGGGTCGATTCAGTAAATCCGTTTGGCTGGGAAATCCCAGCGAAGCAACTCCGCCGCCACCCCCAATATTAGAGTGTCCGAAGGCGAAAAAATAACTATAATTATCATTAAGTTTTAAGCGTATTGATTATGCTTGATAATTCCACAGACGTAAGATACATTTTTATGCATTTAAGAGTATTATTTCTTTAACATATGTACTTACAACTTGTACGTAATACATAGCAATAATTGAGTCATTATAATTATAGGTTTAAGACGCTATAAGCACAGTATTATTATCTTGTATATATCTGTACAATAATTAATTCACTGATCATTTTATATTTTCCTTTGTAACTTTAATTATATATTTCTTTCTAATTTGTATTATATTTTAAATAAAATGTACATGTAATAAAGTTTTAGATGAATATATATTTCATTTTCAAATTGCATGCCGGAAACTTGTGGTTATATAACACTTACTCAACTGCAAGTTAACAATTTATAAAATCATACGATGCATTGATTAAATATCGATTGTATATACATATATTAAGGAATTCGTTTTTAAACAAATGTTTGAGTGCAATTACGTGCACATACAGAATGATTGTGCAATGAAAAATAACGTGACTATAATTAATCGACTAACGTAGTAACGATGAACGTCCGTGTTTTAACTGTGAAATGTCTAATTTCGGATTGTATGTTGAATTCGTGCAGTGCAAGATTTTTACGGATTAAAATAGTGAAATAAAATTTGCTTCGTCTAATCAATTATTAATTATGAGACGAGTGTTTGAACCTCCAAGGAAAAGTTTGCTCGATGTTGTGAGAAGAAATCTTCATGCTGCTAAGATGGTAGGAACAATTTATTTTCATCATAATTACTTTTTGTTCGAATTATATATTTCTGTCTGCACGTTTCTCGCATGAAACATGAATGGAACGTGTTTACTTGATAATTTTAATTTTATTATTCTACTTGTCGATATAATTTTCTAAAAATAAATCTGCCTTTCACAACATGTTATCAAGAGAATGCTTCACTTTTAGAGTTCATACGTAACGCGCATTGTTTATATTGGAAAATATATTGGCGCCTACGAAAATCTGGCAACGGTACGAATAATGAAAAAACTTAGTGTAGTAATAAATAGTTATATGAACGTCATGAGAATTGTAATTATCAGAGAATGGAAACCGTTATTAACAACTTGAAGATGGATGTTTCCGATGTTCCGATAACAGGAATGTTTCTGGTCTACCCTCAATATTACATTCATTTGTTAGAGGTATTCATTATGGATCACGTTTATAATAATGTACTTAATAGAATAAACCATTAATAACAATTTATATCGATGCAGGCACCAGAAGACATAATTTACAAGCATTTCAAAGATTTTTATGACAAGCAAACCGACGACTGTAAAGTGACGAGATCAATCTTCCTTCCATTTCACCATCACGTTAATCAGGTAAACTTTACAACGAAACGGAAAATAGAAGAAGAAAGGTACACAGTTATTGTTGACACTTTCAGAGATTCTTTTCAGATTGGTTTCACGTGTACATGACTCCGCCTACTCTGTTGGAAAATCTTGAATCGCATGATTTGCCTAAAGTTATGACGCAGGTGTATTATAGTCAATCTTTTTATGATAAAATGAATAAACTTTGTTTTTCATTCTGTTTTAATGTGACTTTAATATTTTACTTTCGTTGATTCTCGTTTTTTACGCAGGTGTCCAATTGTTTGACGAAAGTGTATGTGTTGTGTCACAGGATATCGAAGACGGTCTGCGATCAAGTAACTGATTCTAGTTACTAAATATATCAGATTATATATTATATTTTTCTAAAATATTCCACCAATATTTCCTACAATAAAATCGAATCAACAGAAGTAGATTAATTATTAATGAAAATATTTTTTCCAAAGTCAATTCCAATGACGGAAGTCGTCCGAAATTTGAGCTACAAGGTCGCAAGATACTTCCCCGAAAGCACGGTGGTCGAATACTTGTTGAATGCGGACTCTCCTGTGCTAATGAGCATCGAAAAATATTTAAAGCTACATTCCTCGGTGCCGTTTGTCAATTTGTACCAAGGTAACAGCTTTTTTATTGTTGTATTCAGGATAAAAGGGCCGAGAAGTGTTGATCGATCGGTTGAATAAAAACGATTATTTATTTCAGAGTATTTACAATATCAAAAAAACGTCTTTCTTTTATGGGGTACATGAAATTTGTGTCAGATATCGCTAAACTAATTACATATACAAATTTCATTCAAACGGTTTTTGTTTTTGTTTCGTATGACTTCATTTTTTGTCTTTCATTTCGTTCGCGAAAGCAGCTGGTCAGACTCGTTCGTTAAGATGTACAGGCTATACATGTACGCAGTAAGATGTACGGCAGTAAGATGTACGGCAGTTAGATGTACGGTGCTTCCATGTCTTAATCTAAAAGAGTTTTTCTTCTGCTCTTATCCTTGGCTACTCTAAGATACATTAGTAACGAAGCGAATGGTGTGCAAATGCTGGTCGACAGAGCAAACGGTGTGGTCGTCGCTGTGATTCGGCATAAAATAGAAACCTATCGCAGTAAAACGTAATTAGGCTACACTAACGTCTACCATATTATCAAGAACAACACTCGACTTTAAGCACAACTGTACTCAAATGAAAAATAATCCAAACACACGTATCCAAAGAATTCTCCAACGCACATTTGACATTAGAAATCTCTTATTTAGTACGCATCAAAGTTCAACATTTTCAGGCCAGTTAAAAATTCTTTAAAGAAAATTCACTCGAATCCTTAATTCAACTTTAGCACTTCAATTGCATGCACAGGTAAATACTTCAATTTGGTCATTTTCCTACGAAAGGAAAGAACTTAGAATTTCCTTGCCTAAATGAGAATAGTGATTAATCGGTTCGTTGGTCGTACTGGATTGAATAATTTCGAAAACGGAATTAATAGAAGTATTTATCAGCGAACACCGCGACACGTTTCCTCGTGCCGACCAAATGATTCGGCACTAAGAAGAGTAGCTTCACACAAGATCAAGGAACGCCTTTACATTCACAGTGAACAGGTTGACAACGGGTGGTTTGATTCTGTTTCAGACAGCATCTGGCCGCCACCCCACGATTTCATGTTCAGCGGTGCGTCCGAGAGACACGATCGTCCAAATGACGAGCACGCGTCGCCCGACACGAGCCGCTAGAAAGAACTTCCGGATGATTCGGCCCTGTCGACGAGAAATCAATTGCTCTTCCAATCGGGCAACGATCGCGTGTTCAGGCTACGTTGAGGTGTTTCGAGCGCACCGGACAGGTTTTGTCACGAATAAACGATCAACAGAGATTTGCTAGCAGTATGCGTTCGAGATTTATTGTGCCGCCAGTTTACCTTTGTTCAGCTCGCGTCGACCGTACCCTTTTATCCGGTCGTGTGATACGAAGTTTCGATGAATCGATAATTAAGTGGGTTTCGAGTAATTTTGAAAAATTAATAGTCGGATGATTGAATAATTGAATGCTAATAAAAAATTGTTGCAATGGAAATCTATCACTGAAATATTAGAATATAATACTCGCGTTGAATTCGAATTTTCGAAAATTCTGCAACCTCGTATCACACCACTCAATAGATAACGAACAGCATACAGCGAACCGGTAACACGATATTTGAAAGACAAGGTGCAAGGAACTCGCGAAATTTTCTTTGATGACCATAGAAACTTCGTCACAGAGACAACGAATAGGAAAACGATGAAGCTGAGCGCATTACCGTTACAATTGCATTCTTCGGCAATAGTTCTCCGCGGAAAGGGAACTTAAAACCAAAATTCCTATCACCATGCTTGCAGCTACTGATCTTACGAAGTGTCCGAAGACGGTTTTCAGCAAAGGACTCTCTCAGGATCACTGAAGAAAATTCTTTCAGTTCGCTGTGTCTTGTCCATCAACTGTACACCTATGTACGCGCTCCCGATGTTCTCAGCGGTTCGTGGCCAGCATGCCGCGAACGTTAATACAAGAAGAAATACAGGCGTTTCTTGAACGATTAACTCGGAAGTGTTTAGCACAGCTGGCTATGTACCGACATCAATTCCATCAATGGCAATTAATAAATAACGATCCACGCTGGTTCACGCTTGGCTCGCCGCGCGTTCGCGCGTCATACTCTGTCGCTGTGGATGAGAACTTAACGACTAGCGATCGCGAGAGAACACATTGATCTAGAGGACTCGAAAGAACGATTAACTTTCTCGATTATATTATAGGAAGCGACGACTCGCGAGAAAACCGGCGCTTTTCCCGCTACGGTCCACGTTACACACCGAAGTTATCTATCTAAGTATCCAGATCTTCGATCGCGCTCTTTCTCCCTCTCTTTCTCTCCGTTTCCCTTTTATTCTTTCTCTCCTCTCCTCTTCTCGCTTTTAAGTTACACAGACTCCACCGCGCACGGAAAAGGTATCGAGACGCTTACAGAGCGCAAGCGAAACGTGATCTGCCCCGAGAAAGTTTGATTAAGGATAGCTGTACACACGCGCGTTCTCTCCGCACGCGAGTCCCTTCCGCGAGCTTTCAGTCATGATTGGATTGCGGATATTTATGCGAATCCTTGCATTCTCGCACGGTAACCGATGAGAGCTGGAATCGATTGGAAGCCTGGCTTCCCGGTCGCTGGGGGTTCCTTTTTTGAATTGTGAATGAAAGAACAGCGCTAACGGAAACTTTTTCCCAAGACGTTTATTTGATTTTGTTCAACAAATTCGGGTTTCATTATAAACGCATAAAATCCGCACCGTGGCTGCGACTCGGTCGCGGGGTCGGAGGATGCGACGATTCAATCGAGTGCAGGACGACGTGGTCCTGGAAAGCTTTCGGAATTGAGATTTTCAATTTAATCCTGGAATAAAGGCTTCTAGAAGGTGTTCGTGTATCGTTGAAAATTCTATCGAACAACATTCAGCTGTAACGCGTATTCTCTAATAACAATACATTCTCGAAATTTTCATTTCTCCATTCGTTCGTCGAATTTCCTGCATCTTTTGTCTTAGAAATCGTCTCATTTTATTCTATAATTATCTTCGCGAATTGACTAAGTACATAAACACACGAGAAAGCTACAATTTAAACAGAATAACATTTCGAATATGATTCGATAATCAATGGATTATCAATAAATTAATATATTATCGATATATCAACAACAAATCAATCAATCTTATCAATCAATCAATCAATCAATCAATATACTAATAACGTTCCAAATTCCCCCACTCGAGTTCCGAACTTTCCGGGCCGCAAGTCGTCTTGAAAGGCAAACATTCACCGGTCCCCGTGTCAAGCGTCACCCGGAGGCATTCTTCAAGCAACAGACAGAGGCAGCGAAAGCTGTCGCAACGATCGGACCACGGGAAAGCTCTAAATCGTCTCTGAGTGCGGGACGGCCGCACCTTTCCCCCTTTTCTCGTGCCTCGGTTTATTTTACTTGGAAGGAAAATCGTTACTTTATACATTATACAGATACTTAATCTTACAATGAAATCCAGAATACTGCATACTGACGAAAGTAATGGTGATCTCTCATCCGCTTTCACCCGTCCCCCCTCCCGCTTTCAATCATAAATTCATTTGTTAACCGTGTCGGGTTCGTTTCGTCTCCCCCTCGCCGCTCTTTT